ATACAACAAAGGAAATAAAAACTTGGCATAGTATATCATTATAACAGTAAATAGTTACAAATCTGTATATCTTTATCTAACGCAAATATTGTTCAGACGCATATATATTTCCAATACATTTGGAAAAATGACTCATTTTTTTTAACCTACTGTATTTTGTATAAAAGTCCCATATTTCATTATACTTGTCCATACAAAGTCTATGTCTGTAGGCAATCCACTCTTAAGTGGCAAGTGCAATCTGGTCTTCAATCCATCAAATAAATGAGGCCCTATATTTATCTTTCCAGTGCTGCAGTATCAGTCTTTGGGCCATAGTAAGGGCATGGAGAATCCATTTATGTTGTCCAGATGTCAAATTCCATGTACTAGTATATAGTTCAAAAGAATATTATCTTCTGAAAATGTTAACTTTTCTCACACAGTCATATTTATATAGTCTGCTACTTTCTCCCTAAACTTAGTAAGTATAGGACGTTGTGAAAACACATGCTTTAAAAAGGCGTTGTCCTTATTACATTTCCAACCAAATGCTGTTTTTGACAATTCTTTTCTATACAAATGTAGTGGAGTCCAATAAATTTTAAATATTATCTTTTGTTTTATAAGTTGTAGTTTAAGGTCCATTGACACTCTTGCTATAGAAGTTAAAATACTCTTACCATTGTCTAGGCAATATAGAAACCTCTAATTCTTTATTTCACTCATCCTTTAATATCTGCATATCAAAATGATTTATTGATAACAAATACCTATAAAAGCTAATCGTTTTTTTAGTTATAAAGGATTTAACAGATTGTTCTAGTATCTTGGGTGTCTTGGAAGCTGAAAATATTGCTGATCCAAATAATGTTGTTAACAAATATTGTAGCTATAGATATTGCCATTGGGATATATCTTATAGATGATATCTATCTCTTAGCACAGCATATGTTAAAAATTCATCTTCATCATGTATCAATTGGACCAAAGTCAATATCCCTGCTTCCATCCAACTTTTCCATATCACCATCTTTTTCCTGATTTTTAATGTTGGGTTTCCTCATAGAATCAATTCAGCATGGGAAATGAAATCCAATTTTTATACACTAATTGTATTTCTTATTCATGCTTTTCTTTTGGTGATCTTCATGTGAGATCACTGTTGTTTTTATTACAGCATACTGTAATAACTGCATTCAGGATCTGTTACTGTAGTTAGTTTGCTTAATTTTAGTAGTCATATTGCTATCTGTATTTGTACTAGGGATGTGCCAAACATTCCATGCATGGAACAGCTGACTTGGAGTGATATGTGCTCCAACTGAAAGATACGTGTTTTGGTCTGTACATGGAATAAACCAGTGTTATTCTCCTGTAAATGGACTAAAATGTAATTATTCTGCTTGGAAGTGAGGGAGAAGGGTATGAATGGGAAAAAGCCAATGCTAAGGGGGTCTTCCTTGGCAAATAGGTGTACAGATGTTAATGCACTAATGGTGAAGGAAGGGAAGGTTCTGAGAAGATCAGGGGCAGGTGGGCCAACAGACAGGTTGTGCAATGGAAGAAATGGCTGATCCAAAACAGTGTGGCAGCACTTCTGGAATGTAGTGGTTCTGGTTTGAAACAAAACAATTTTGTTTCATGCATACCCTTAACTTCTTTATTTCAATGAACCACTTTTCAGCCACTAGTTCATTCTTGCAAACCAGCTGATTGTCAGGGGATGCAAGAAGTCAAGGATGAGTAGGTTCTTCTCAGTGGACTGTCAGTGCCTGCAGGGAAGTGAGGCTAAGGTGGCAAGTGGGCTCTGGCCCATAAATGTATCAAGGCTGAGGTGGATTTCTGTGGACTGCTATTGGTCCAAGGAATGCATATTGAATGTTGTTGAAAGTTTAGGAATCACTGAACTAGGGCTTAATCTCTTTTTTCATGAAGTATTCTAATTCCTTATTTTATAGCTGTGTTCTGTACTGGAGGAAGGGATGGAAATATCATGATCTGGGACACTCGATGCAATAAAAAAGGTACGTGATATGTCTGTCTATTCTCTCAAATCATTGCAATGGTATTATGAGATAGCAGTGACCATTGGGTCTCCTTGTTTTAATTCAAGTGCTTTCCATTACATAATACTTACTAATACTAGGTAAGATATTCAGCTTTCATAAAGCTGGATGAATTTGCAGTATGACTGTAGGTCATTTATCATATATGAACACGTGACAAGGGAAGGTCCTTTAAATAGTGTTTCCTGAACCTGTCTTTCAGATGGATTTTACAGACAAGTTAAACAAATAAGTGGTGCCCACAACATCATAGATAAGACACCATCCAAACTGAAGAAGAAAAAGCAGAATGTGAAAGGACTTGCACCCTCAGTGGTAAGAATCTGGAATTTTAAGGCCATATTTTGTCATGTTCTGTCTTGGCAGCCGCACTAGCTTGAGGTCTATTAGGGAGGTGGTAGATATTGGCTATGTCATCAGGCCTGGGGGTCTCGGGATCAGTGAGATCTTGAGATGGCTCCCTTGCTGATCTAATCTCATGCATGTTTGTGTGTTTAATATGACTGTGTTTGACATGTTAATTGTTTTATATTTTTTGCTGTACACCACCCAGAGTCACTTCTTGTGAAATGGGCGGCCATATAAATTTGAGATAGATAGACAGACAGACGAGGGAAAAGAACTGAATGAATTATGTTAATTCATGTGAGCTTCTAGTAATATCTAGGAAGTTATTAGCACATAAAGGGAATGTGTGCATATACCCAGGCCTATTTTTTTAAACAAATATAACTTCTTTTCATATGCATTCTTCTGATAGAAATATTCCTATGTTGGGATACTTGTTCATCTTTGTTTATTTTGCTTTGTCTATTCTGATTGGTATTGTCTCTCTGGATTCTTAAGCAAAAGTGCTTTAACTCTAAGGTTTGAACCAGGTCTCTACTGCAGATGGTACAAATACGAAAGTAATAAGCTGCCTTAAACTGAGTTAGACCCTTGGTTAGTTCTATCATATCTGGGCCACAAAAATCTAGCCAGGTATCAGATGGCACCTGTGATTTAATGGTTTATATCTCAGATACAATAGCACTAGCTATTGCATGCACAAAAGAGAAAATGTGTCCATGGAGCAAACATGTTGAGGCTCAGGGTTGGCTTGTTCCAGGGAGGTTGCATCCTGATCAAATTGAAACCCAGAACTTTGTGACTGATCCAGTTTCATCCAAGGGAGGGTGAACTGAATGAATTTGTTGTGCCTCATCTTTCTCTCCTCTGCATGCCTGTGTGTCAGCTCACCCACTAATGATCCCAGTAGCCTTCTTTTCTTTCCTTTTGCTGCTGCCATACATAAATGGAAACACAACTTGACCAACTGGCCCAAACTTTCTTACCCCTTTTGCTGATCATTCCAGCATCTTTCCTGTTATTTTTCCCTTCCCTGCTGTAGCACACTATTGTTTTTGTCTTTTCTTGTTATGTCCTGTCCCAGAATACACACATTCTGGGTCAGTACCTAGAACAAATACACTTATTCTGAGTCCAGGCAGAATATAGATGTTTTGGTCAGAACATGGGCCACCCACACCTGGCTATTCCATGTATAAAACAGTTTGCAAATCCCAGGATAGTCCTATCATGGGTCCATCTAGCCAGATTTCAGGAAGATGTTTGTCTAGCTATTCCTGGAGATAATAATTTTCTAGTGACTTTATGCATGCAAAGAATGTTCTCTGCTACAAGAAGACTTGGTTTATAGTTACTTACCACTAAAGTATTCATCCCTCTCTACCCTCTCCACCAACCCTCAGACTTGGTATATTTTCTTATATATTATCACATACTTGACCTGGCTGATGTCAAATGCGTGCTATGTCCATTGTATACTAGTTTCAGATAGCGAATTCTGAGCATCCAATTTTGAATGCATGGTGCATTTATACAAGACCATCTGAAAGCTACAACTGGTCCAGAATGCAGTGGCATGGGTAGGCCCACGTAACAATACCACTCTGTGAGCTGTACTGTCTACCGGTCAGCTTCCAGGTGCAATTCAAGGTGCTGGTTACCACCTGTAAAGCCATTCATGGCACAGGGCCAGATCATTTGTGGAATTGCCTGTTTCTAATTGAACAATTCCAGGTGTCATACATAATGCTCCCACCTCTTATTTTCTCCACAATAGCAACCCTGTGAGGTGGGTTGGGCAGAGAGATCTGAACAACATCTGACAAGCTTTAGGTCTCCTGTATGAAATAGTGCCATATAGTGGGACCCAGAGGGCATGGCTTCTCTTCTCTGTGAATAGCATATCCCTGAGATTCAGATGGTCCAACGCTATTGGCCTTCCCTAAGGTGTTGAAAACCTGGCTTTTCTCCTGGGCACTGGGCCAGGGTGTTGGATGAGCCTGTTTGTAATGGGAATATGATTGTGTTAGCCTTGTTTGCTCTATGCCCCTTGTTTTTATTTGTCGGTTGGGTTTTTTTCTCTCCCTTTTAGTCATAGTCCAGAATCCCAATGTGCAAGTGGGTGGACATATAAATTGATTATATAAATAAATATTTTTCTTCACTTTCCACAGCTGTTAGGCAGCTGTTTCCTAGTTACATTATGGCTGTCCTTTGGAAGGTAGGCTTAGAAATAAGTGCACTGGCTACATCATACTTCACAGCCTACTTCACAAGCAATGACTTAGGGAAGGAACTTCTGAAAATTGAATTGCTCTGGTTGCAGTTGCATTCTGCATCCAGGTAGGTATGAATGATACTGAATCTTGAGGAGCTAGTTTTAATAATTTGCAAGGCATGCAGTGTAATCTCAATTATGCTGATTTAGAAATCAGTATATTTGTATTCACTGGGTCTCACCAATAGATAAATGTGAGTACAACAGTATTTGGATTGCCCTACCTTCCCTTGTGTGCTTTCTTTTATACACAATTGTTATATCAAACATCGAGATACAGCCACAGTTTTGAAACTTCAATAAATAATTACTAACTGGGTCAAAAGGGAAGCTGTTTACAGGGAATGTCCAAATCAGTACTGAAATGAACTTTGTTATAGCATTAGCCTGTTCAGAAATGAACTCCTTTCTTATTTGTCTTCTAAGGATTTCCAGCAGAGTGTGACAGTGGTAATACTTCAAGATGAACACACCTTAATCTCAGCAGGAGCTGTTGATGGGTAATAGTCAATACTTATATTCACAACAAATCTTTTAAATTCTCCTTTTGAGAAGCAATATAGATTTCTAATTTTGGACTGTTTGCTCATGTGAACATTCCTGTAGTGAAACTTAATTAAATCTTCAGAGAATGACTCTTATCTAAGGGCAAGAACTTTTTGGGAGAAAAAAAATCAGCATATTTTCCTATTTAGTTGTGTCAATATAAGCTCATCAGTTTCTCAAATAAACATCCATCCTGTAGCTGAATGGTAGCAGAGCATGGTGAGACACACTCCCATTTTGTATAGGGCTCCAAAGGCATGATGTAGCTGCTGTCTCTCTTAAAAAGTTAAATAAAGTGAGAAGACAATTTCTCAGTCTTTGGGCACTTATTCTAGCTGGGAGATGATGTCCTGACAACAGTGAAAATTAAATAATATTTAATATATTGACATTATAATTTATTAAATCCCTCCAAGACTTAGTTGCTGTACATCAGTACACATCCAGGAATATTGGTCCCTAGACAGGGTCACATTCTCCCATAGAAGGTGGTGTGTGCCTAGGGGTGTTCTTCCTCGACTCACAGCTGCTACTTAAATAGCAGGTGGAGGCCATTACCATGGCACCTTTGCTCAACTTTAGCTGATGCATCAGTTGCAGCCCTCCCTAGACGAGGATGCACTGGCCTTGGTAATTCATATCATGATCACCACCTGCCTGTAGTACTGTAATGCACTCTGTGGTGGGAGCAGCTTTGGAAATGACCTGGAAACTACAATTTGTCTAGAATGTATCAGCAATATAATTGATGGATCAATTTCACCATTGCAAGATAACACTTTTCCTGAAGTTGTGCTGGTTATCACTAGACTTCTGGGCCCAATGCAAAGTGCTGGTAATGACCTATAAAGACATAAGTGGCTTAGCACTGGATTGCATCAGACATTGCCTAATCAGAATTGAATCTGCCCATCTAGAGAGAATATCTTAGGAAGGACTATTAAGAGTTCTCCTCTTGAAGTTAGAGAGACATGAATAACACAATAGGCCTTCTCTGTGGGCAGACCCCACACTTTGGAATAACCTACCCCCAGAGGTTCATAAAGCCTTTTCCCTCATGGCATTTATAAGATTACTGAAAATAGTTTTATTTCACTGAGTCATCAACCCTAGTTAAATGTTAGTGGTGTCTACCTTGGAGGATTTTTTAAAAAAAATTAATATCTTGTAACTCACCTAGAATCTTTTGATTTGGGCAGACTGTAAAAACTGTTAAATAAATTGGTAGATGAGTAGACAGACGTTCATGGTATGCTTCCTATTATAATTCTCAAATTATATTGCTCCCCAATCAGCTGATCAAATATCTTGATTAAAGGTATATTCTGTCTAGCAATTAGTCTTTTATTCTTTGTCTGAGTATACATATGAGACTGGGTTATGGCAAGCTTCTTTCACATGTTTTGGGACTTATTCACTGAATTCGCACCAACTATTTTTGGAGAGCATCAAACTGAAGCAGGCTTGATTGTGGTATGGAATTTTGAAGAATTCTTTTTCCTTAATTTTAGTGTGATCAAGATATGGGATCTGCGGAAGAACTACACTGCATACCGGCAGGAACCGGTGCCAGCCAGAGTTTTCAGCTATCCTGGAAACAGCACTCGTAAACTTGGTATGGCATAATAGAATGTTCAAGAAGGAAGAGAATCAGATCTTTCTTTGCTTTTGCTCTGTTTTGTATTCATACATTAGAATTACACTTTGGGCCAAGGCCAGTTATCAAGATCTATCTCAGCCTGACTTCAGGACTAGTTTCAGTGAAACAATGGCATTAGTTACCCTGTTTGGTCACTTGTTTTGAGAGAATGGGCAGGATGAGCTAATTCTCTAGGTGTCAATGGTATTCAGTGCTGCCACATTACCCTTTGGGATGGTCTGTCTAAACTGGGGCTTAAAGACACAGTGCTTCTATGATCCTGGAAGATGATTTTTAAACAGGTGGTGTTTTCTTTTTTGGAGAGGCATTGTGGTGGTCATCTATGCTATGAGGGTCTGTAAAGTTTATTTTCTGGCCCTTATGAGTTTCAGTTTTCCATGATGCCTCTCAGGGAGGTCATTAGGAGTTAATTAACACACTGACAGTATCCAGCTCTTTTACATCTGATTTAGTTCAGGCAGTTGCCATGCTAAATTAGTGTCTGCATTAGTAAGGAACTAGATGAATGCCAGTAGACTGAAGCTCAGTCCAAATAAGGCAGAAGTTCTGTTGGGAATGACCTGATTTGGTAATAGTCAAAATCATTTCTGTAAAGTAGTATAAATATGGCTTGCTAGGATGTTAATTACGATTGAATAACATGAGCCTGCCTATATGCTTGGGTCTTCTCAGTGCTCTGCCCCTTCCTTCCTCTGAGGTGAGGTAGGCAACAACTGGAGAGAGGGCTTTGTTAGATGCAATTTTCTCTTGGGGAGTACTTTTCGGACACTTTTTTCCCCTGATGCCAGGTCATTTTCCGTTTCTCTGGGCTTTTAATTTTTAAGCAGTGATGAAACTACTTTTTAAACTACTGATTTTTATCTATTTTTATATTTTCTATCTGGCTTACATAAGCTGTTATAGAAATGTTTTTACACTGCAATATGGGGTATGCTAAAATATTTTTTTAAAAATCTTGTTTCCTTTTATCAAAACCCTTACTAACTAAATAAGCATAAAAGTTTGTTCCCCTACTTATAAAAAGAATAGCATTTATCAAAACAATGAAGAGATGCAGGCTGTTCTACCTTCACAAAAGAGGCAAGCCTCCTCCCCTCTATATTGAAAGAACCCAAATCAGGGAAGAGTTTCACCACCTTATATTGGTTGTACCTTGGTTTCTTATTTGAAAGCAGTGTACTTCCTTGAATTTTTGTGTTGTAACTTTAACCTTCCTTCTAATAAATACTATTAATCAGAGCTTTTAGATTCCTGCTCCTAAAATTAGTTGTTTCCTATCCAGCCTGCAAGGAGGGAAGTTTGATGACCGAATCTTCTGTCTTCTAGGATATTCCAGCCTTATTTTGGATTCCACCGGTACCAATCTATTTGCTAATTGCACTGATGATAATATATACATGTTCTGCATGTCTGGTCTGAAGAACACTCCAGGTAAGTACTAATACTTTGGGATACAGCTTATCTATACATTTAGATACTTAACAAGTTTAGAAAGCTATGGCAGATACACTTACTGTGTCTGTACCATCCCTAGCAGTAGTACCGTATGCATTTCCAGGTAAGGTAGTCCTATATTTGATAAGGCTCATGCCAAGATAAGCGCCCATAGGATTACAATGTGCAGTAGGTTCTATATTATATACAAATCTATCAGGACAGCTTCTCTGAATGACAGTATAGAAGTTTATAACACCTATAGATGTCTCCATACTCTGTTTTCCTTTAGACAAACAAACTCATTTTGCTATGGTTAGATTGTTACATAAATATTTACTATCTTAATCCTATATACATTTTACTAGTATGGAAAGAATTCACATAATCTACTATATGATACAATATACTCTACTTTCCAATCCATTGCAGGTAGTCCTCGTTTAGCAACCACAGTTGGGACTGGCAACTTGGTTGTTAAGTGATGCAGTTGCTAAATGAAACGACAACTGTGCTTACAATCTGACTTCAGCTTTCCTTTGTTTTACAGACCTGTGAAGGTCATAAATGCAAGGACTGGTCGCAAAGTTACTGCCTGTATATCTTTTTCTGTATACTTATATCCATTAACAGCCTTTTACATTAATCCAGAGTAGAACCATTACATCATATGCTAGTGAATTCATTTGTTAATTGTGCTTATCTCAAGAAGCAAGTTTTTTTTCCTCTGGCACCTTGTTTAGTTATCACCTTTTCTTCACAGTCTGCAGAATCTCTTCTCAGGCCACAAGAGAGCAGCAAATACTGAAAGGTTGACTTAAATATGTTTGGAACAGTGGATGCTATTAGGTTTTCCTTGTGGTCTTCCTCTGATTTTTTTTTTTTCTAAATGATTGCTCTTTTCCCCCTTTTTTGGAGGAAATGGAAATAAAATGAACTGTTCATGGAAATTTGTCTACATTCCAACCATCTAACTTAATGCGATATCCTGTAATTCTGCAAAAAAGTTTTTAAAATCTATAAAGATTACATAACTACTAATTTCTAATGCTTGGATTGTAATCTAGCCTGCATAAATTGGTTGATCTTGGTAGTTCTTTCCACCTATTTCTCTATTTCTGTTCAAACAATATTGTCAAATGCTCTATGTCTCTTGTGAATCATTAGCATCTTGTTTTATAATAGCCTTAGAAATATATCCACTTGCTTACTATATATATAACTTATAATTATATACAACCATTTGTAGCAGAAAAAGATGTGGTTTTATAAAACTGTCTTCCTAGCTGTTTGGAGATAATTCTGAATTACTATAGGTGAATCAGTATATTTGTTAGATAACAAGATGATTTAGATATCTTTCCTCAACCCAATGTTTTCCACATATATTGGGAGTGCAATCCCCAGAATTCCCTGCCTCAATACATCTAGCAGGTACCAGAATAAGGAAAGTTGCCCTAAATGGTCAAGTTGGTTCTTAGTTCTGTCACTTTGCTCCTACTAGCAGAAGATTGTCTTGGATTTCAAGGTCCATATGCAAGAGGGAGAAAAATTAACTTGTGTCTGCCTATCATGGTCCCTTCCAACTCAGAGTACTCAAATACAGAACAGCCTGCTCTGGACAAATGTCAGCCTGAGGAACTAGAAAGCAATTAACTACGTGCAGCCACCTCTGCCAGTAATCATTTGGGAGAAGCAGGGGATGAATCACAAGCAGTGCAAACCCTGAGAACATGTCACAAACTCCAGAGAACCAAGTACAGATGTTCTCAGAGGCACTCTGCTCAACTCATTGAGCAATGGCTTTAATTGAGCCTACATCAGTGCAACTGTCAGCAACTGACTTCTCCATTGGGAACAACTGCTTCAATCTTTGTTTTGTACTTTCATGATTTTGAATCCCCTGTGCTACCTGAATCTTAGTTTTTTCATTCCAGAACTGATTACCTATCCTGGAACTTTGAACTGCTTCTGGAGTTCTGGATTTACCCATGTTCTAATTTGACTTTGGACTCTTACAGGCAGGACTTTGTTTTCCTGTTTAGCATTGCTGGGGTGTGTGAGCAATTGCAATATGCCAACACTCTGCCTGCTAAAGCCTGTAAATGTTTGCAAACTTGAAAGTAAACTTTATACATACAACCCAACACTGTGTGTGTGCTAATTGTTCTGACAGATGACAGCAAGAAGGGAGATCAGGCATGTCTCTCTTACGCTTTCTCTGGAAAAGATGAATAGGCAATTCTCAGTGTTATAAAACAGTAGCAAAATATTCTGCTGAATTTGTATGCCAGAAAAATAATTGAATTAGTGGCCAACCTCCAGAACTGTTGGATCAACTCTTAGTTTTCAATTACTGATAGCTAATTCTGATGCAGGCTTGATATAATGTGGTTTGAAGTCAACTTGTTTAGACAGCACTATATTGGAGAAAGTTGGATTGCAGTATTTACATCTATAAGCAAGGATATACCATAATGGGTTTTCCTTTCAGGACTGCTCTGAAGTTCTCTGTAACTTTCTGTGCTGAGTCTAGGAATCAGACTTCCCACTTCTAGTCAGTGCAAAGTGTGCATTGCACATAACTCTCTTCTCAAGTGATACCTCAGAGTTTTTTGGGGCAGTGGTTTTAAAGCATAACAAATCAGGTGAGGCATCATGGTGTTTAAAAATAGCCACGTAACTCATATCTCTGTGTCACTGCACATCCTTCTTAAGAAATAAGATACCGGTTGCAGGAAATGAGAGAAGCAGCAACTTCCCTGCTGGATACTGAAGTTTCAGTGTCCACCTCAGAAGTGCAAAATGTGAAAAGTTTTAAACAATTTACCATTACCACTAGCCTCAGAGACTAAGAAGGAGTTCAGAAGTTACATTCCTTGAAGAGAGGAATTATGGGCATAAAAAGCCATTTTAAAAAAAATCTTCTCTGGAAATCTTTAGGATATGGTTGTTTTTTGGCAACATCTTAGAAGTTCTATGTTAGCACTGGACTCCACAAAGTCATACAGGAACTCACTGAGCATTCACTATATTCATGAACGCTTTCTTTTTTCAGAAGTTGGTTCTGACTTGTATAATCAGCATATACACACAATATATGAAATAAGCCTTAAGTAGAATCTAGTATATTTAAAAAAAGAAACAAAAAGCACAAATTACAGTTAGAGCAGTAATGGATGTCAATTGTGTTTGGCCTGAAAAAATGACAAGGGCATTTGCTGATTTCATTAGTGGAAAATAGAGGTGTGTAAAACATTTCAAGCAATTTTGATCTCCCCAGGGGGATCTGATATTGTTTTGACCTTATAGAAGTGTTCTAGGCTGAAAGTGTGGTCATTTCAAGAATGAGCACTTTAAATTCAAACTCAAAATAATTTCAAACAGTTGAAACCTGAAACATTTTGGGCACCTCTTGTTGCAAGTTTTATTTTGTTACATTGAGTAAATTTATTCTATATGTCTTACCTGCAATTTTTCCTTTCATTTCAAGGATTCAGTGTCCCTCCAGATACAATAATTGCAGGTCCCAGCTCTTTAAGAAAATTGCCTGAGCTGAAAAAAAGTCTCTGCATTATTTCTCATATTACTTAACTGTGACTATATTTTTAGCTTGTTATCTTATCATTCCTCTTTTACTTCAAATGAATGTTTGTTCATTGTTTAAGATATTATATACAAGCACAGAATTGGAAGAGAGCCAGTGTAGCCTATGGTTAAGGTTCCAGACTAGAAACCAGGAGACTGTGAGTTCTAGTCCTGCTTTAGGCATGAAAGCCGGATGGGTGACTTTGGGCCAGACACTCTCAGCCCATGATGTCAGGCTCGGGTGACATTGGTCAATTCCTGTCACAACCAATGGATCAACATTTGGTTGATCTGAAAAAAGTGGACACTGCACCTGCAGTGAAAACACTAGGAAGAAAAATACAAGCATAGAATTGGAAGCCATTTAGGCCATTAAATCTAACGTGCAGCAGTGCAAGAATTCAAATAACAGCTTTCAGATGGCTGTCTGGCTTCAGCCCGATTACATCCAGCGAAGAGGAACCCATTAGCTCTCTGGGTAATTCATTTCACTGTCAAACTGCTCTTACTGTTGAAAGTTTTTTCTAAGATTCAGTTGGAATTTGTCTTGTAGCTTAAGTCCATTATTCAGTGCCCTGCAGTCTGGAGTAATAGCAAAAAGATTTTGGCCCTCTTCTGTATTTGCTTGTATTGAACATATGTAAACATCTCGCTTCCTTCAATCTCTTTTTAAAGGTTTTAGTTTTCTAGTCCCTTGGGCATATCATTAGTCTTGAACTTTTTTTAGTTTTTCTAAATTCTTAAATATGGTTCCCAGAACTGGACAGCGTTCCTGAAGTTGGGATGTGACAACACAGAATAAAACAGAAGCATTATCCTGGAATATAAAAAGTATACTTCCATTGATGCAGCCTAAAACTGAATTTGCATTTTTGTGACTATATCAGACTGCTGGCCCATATTCAAATTTGTAGTTAACCACTTTTCCATTTTTCCCTAAGTACTGTTAACACATCAAATGTCCTTCAAATTGTACTTCTTTATTTGTTTCCTAAGCGAAGAAATTTTACATTTTTCTCTATAATTTAGTTTTGAAATTTATTTCTGTCCTAAGGTTTTAGATATTCCATGTGATTTTGTCTCATCAACACTTTTGTTAATTGTTTTCTATACCTCTTCATCCAAAACATGAATAGAAATATTGAAGAGTACAGGGCCCAGGGCTGAACTTCTGTAATCACATTCAATAGTTTTCTACTTTGATGAGCACTCAAGTAAAATTTCTGAGGTAATGGTGTGTCCACTTAATTGTCATTCCATCCAGCCCACATTTAACCAGCTAGCTAATCAGAATGCCATGAGGTATTTTGTCAAGTGCTTTGCTGATGCCAAGGTTTATCCTGTTTGCGATCATTTCTACAATCTGATCAAAATAAGATTAGTCTGGTGATGCTTGTTCTTGAAAAACACGTGCTAATTTCTGGTGCTTACTTATAACTTTCAAAGTGCTTAATCTCTTTATGTTCCCTAGAGTCTTCCCTGTTATCACTGTTATACTGACTCGTCAGTACTTTTCTGCTTATCCTTTTCCATTCTTTTTGAAGTTAGGCACAACATTTGCTCTCTTCTACTCTGACACTTCATCAGTTCTCCAGGATATCTGAAATATAATACATGAGGATTCAGCCAGAGGATCAACTAGTTCCTTCAGTACCCTAGAATGCAATTAATTTGCCACTGGAGATTTATATTCAGTCAAAATTCAGAGGCATTCTCTCACCGTGTTTCTATCAACCTCAAAATTCATTCCTGCTCTTTTCTTCTCTCCCTTGCAATTTCCTAATAGAACATATACTTGCTCGTTGGAGAAAACTAAACCAAAATAGCTGAGTTTCTATGCCTTTTCTTTATTGTTATGCATGTTGCCTTCTTTACTGAGTAGCAGGTATGCTGATTCTTTACCTTTATTTTGAATATATCTAAATAACTAAATAACTTTTCTTGTTAATTGTAATATCCTTTGCTAAGCTCATTAAAGCTTTCAGGGCTATTGTCTGTGACCTGCCCTCTTTCCCTCATCTGTATATGTCCTTTTTATTTTTAGATCTTCACTAAGTTTCTTATGTATGGACATCAGTGGCTTCTGCTAGTCTTCATTCTTTTCCTCACTGGAATTGTTTGCAGTTGTGCTTTCAATATTTCTTTGTATAGGTTCTCTGACTTATTTCAAGCTCCTTTTCCCATTAAGCTTCTCTTGCTGCAGAATTATTGCTCTAAGTTTCTTATAATCTGCTTTTTTGAATTCCTAGATACTTGAATTGATTGATCATACTTGCAAAAATTATTAGACTGTAAAAAAGATAACAGCCCTATTTAGATATTGTAATTATAGTAAAATTTTGATTTAACAGACCATTGAGGGGAGGGGTATCTATATTTGAATATCCTGAAATCCCAATTTATGTCATTTGCGTAGTTATATAATGTATGTCAGTGTTGTCATTGGCAATAAAACCTTGACTATGCTGCTTGCTAACTAGGCTTTTCTTCCTAGTTCAGCCACTGTGATATACGCTGACAGTATAGAAATCTTGGGTCATGGAGTGAGAGAAATGTTGCTAAATGGTTTAGAACCTCGTGCATTGTTATGTAAAAGACTGTGTTATGTAAAGGATTTATCCTCAAAACTCAGTTCTAAGTTATATATGGTTGTTTGGTTTTGTCTTTTGTTGAACTGCAGTGTCAGTTTTCAGTGGACATCAAAATTCCAGTTTCTATGTCAAATCCAGCATCAGCCCAGATAACCAGTTCTTAATCAGTGGTTCAAGTGACCAACATGCCTATATCTGGAAGGTAAGCAGCCAAAATGTTTGTGTTAGCTGTGCCTACAATACTGCTATGTTATTTCTGTGTTCACTTTGTGCAGGAAAGACAGATATAGGTACAGAGGGGAGGTTATGGAGAATCACTGAGCCATGTTCCCAGCATACTGTGTCTAAAGTACACAGCTGTCAAGCCTAAATACAAGTCCTGATATAAAACAGAGCTAGCTTCCTGCCTCTACGGTCTCAATATTCCTAGTTGCTGATCTTAATCTGGCTTTAACAGGCCTTTAAAAGTCTCTTTTCAGTTCTGTTTTTTCAGCCAGCTACAACAAGCTGAAAGTTCTTGCTTTATATTTAACAAGAGTCTACATTAGCCAAAGTCTAATGGTCGTAATTGTTTTGACTTTTTTTTAACCTATCATTTTCCAAAGTTTATAAACACTTGCATCAGAGTTATGTTTCTTTTTCTTCCTCCTCTTTCCCTGTCCCCAGGATCCTTAATTTTCAGGAGTTAACATTTTATTATGATAGCTCAGCCAACACCTTTAGTAACATTTGCCAGTATCACCTGGCAGCACAATAACTTAGTTTACATGCTGAGGTCTCTGTAGAGAAATGCATATGTTTCAGTATAAATTCTTCACCCAATGACACAGCATTTCAGGTTAACCCATCTAGTATAAACTAAGCAGAATTAAATGCTTTCTATTAAATCACATTTCTAACATGATCCATCCAATAAAATAAAAGCTCACTTAAACAAGGAGTGGGAATGTTTAATTTTAGAGCAACCTCCTTTTGTTTTCCACTTGATTCTGTTGACTTAGTATTCAGGAAGCCTAGCTGAGTGCTCCTTAAACATTTTGGGTGAACCCTAAGAAGCTGGTCTCTCAAAGTTTGTGATCCCTAGGCTTTCAGAACTTGTGTATTAAAATCTTAAATGATGGTGCTAGGATTCTTTCATCACTTAGGTACCAACATTACCAACTTTCCTACCACACTGTTCCCTGCTCAAAACATTTTCCTGAAAAGGTTGGAACTCTCAAAAATATAAACATTCAGGGTAAAGTATGAAGCATGGACTGCTTCATGCTAACATCTACATAATTTTTTGAGTTGTACAATTTATTTATTTAAAACATTTATATAGCCGCCCATCTTAAAAACAACTTTGGATGGCTTACAACCAATAAGCCATACAAACATATATGTTATAAACATATAAGAAGGTAGGCCTTCTCTGCCATGGCTCCCTCCTTGTTGAACATTCTCCCTCTTGAAGTTAGGCTCGCTCCTTCCCTGCTATTGTTTAGGAAGTCCATCAAGACCTCCTTATGTCATCAGGCCTGGGGGTCTTTGGGAACTGGAGACATTCTCAGGTGGCTCCAGTATGATTGATATTCTGCTCTCTCCATGGGGTTTGTACGTTTTAAAATTTTTGATAATATTTTTTATTTTAATAATTATTTTTTGTCCTTTTATAATGATTGTTTTCATCTATTTGCTGTTTTATTTAATTGTTGTATGCCGCCCAGAGATGCTTTGTATGAGATGGGCAGCCATATAAATGTGACTAATAAACAAATAAAACTAACAGCAATAAAACTAAAAACAGAAAAACCTGGCACCACAGCCCCACTTTTCTGATGTACCCACAGTCTCATCCCACCCTGACTCCACCCTATCCCAAAGTCTGGGGAAAGAGCCAGATTTTAAGTGCTTTCTGGAAGGATTGAAGGGTAGGGGCCTGTTGAATCTCAGGGAGAAGGGTGTTCCCTAGGGCAGGGTCTGCAATGGAAAAGGCACACTTCCAAGGACCCACAATATGGCAAATTTTATTTATTTATTAAATTTGTATGCCGCCCATCTCCCCTAGGGAAAGGACCTAAAGCATGCCCATCCTATCGGTTCTGGTGGAGGGGACAGATATCCTCAAGGAGAGGCAGTCCTGCAGATACCTGGTTTCATGCAATTTAGGGCTTTAAAGGTAATAGCCAGCACCTTAAACTGCACCCAGAAGAAAACTGGGAGCCAGTGCAGCTTACACAACAGGGGTGTAATATGGGTGGACCTAGGGATGCCCAACACTCTGCATCCCACTGCATTCTGGACCAGTTGTAACTTCCTGGTGGTCTTCAAGGGTAGCCCCATGTAGAGTGCATTCCAGTAATCCAAAATTAATCAGAGGATGGGAAGCTGGGTCCAGACAGTTATGAATGTCTCATTACAGGGTGGGGAGATGCTGACATCCTTAGCATTGGTATGACTTCTGTTTAAGGGGCTGATTCTATAGCCAGCTATATTGGACAAACATTGCCCAATGTTTACACTGCCTTTCTTAGGGAAGGTTATTGAGAAGATGAATGTCAAGTACAAAGGACTCTGTAGGAAATAGATTATCTGGACCCTTTCCAGTCAGAGTTCAGACCCTTTCCAGTCAGAGTTCAGAGCTGTAAACTGCAGTGGTCACTCTTGCTGATGACCTATGGTAGGGCTTAAAGGGGAGAGTAACTTGCTCCTATCATTTAGATTTTCTGGGGGACTTTGATATTATAAATCATGGTATGCTTATGGACCATTTAGGAGTTGGGGGCACAGTTCAGCTCCTTCCTGAGTGGATAGTTCCAGTCACTGTGTTGTGGGGAGGAGATGCTGAGCCCTCAAGCACCCTGGTATGGGGCAACCCAAGGTTCCCAGTTGTATTCAACATCTGTTTGATGCCTCTGGGGTAGGTCATCTGAAAGTTTGGGATCCAGTATCATCAATATGCTGATGATACTCAGTTATATATTTCCCCTGCACTAAGTGATGCAGTGGAAGAGTTGTCCTTTGTGATAAGGGCCTGGGTGGAAAAAAACAGATTGAGACAGAACTCTAACAAATTTAATTCTAGACAGATAATATATCTGTCCTCCTGCCAGGTATGAGATCCACATTCTAATATTTAGGAAACTTAAAAACACAGCTCTTTCGATATGTATTTGAAGAGTGAGGCAAGGATAAGCTGAAGTACCTAAGTATATTACAAGTTTTATGTTTATCTGATGCTGATTGTATTTTTATTGTTTGATATAGCAAATAATTTGATTATTGTATTATGCAGTTATGTTGATGGTTGAGATTGAGAGAGAAAAATGATTGAAGTGGCATAAAAACATTCATAATAAATAAGTTTAAAATAATATTAAGCTCTGTCAAGCCCTTGCTCAGAAATAGTGAGCATCCAACTTCCAGTTCTTCTTTCCCATTGTATCCAAAGAGATTAGATGAAAGAAAGAGCATGTAGTCAAGCCACACTCTGCAAGGAGATGAGAAATCAAAGGGGTATCTCTGGACTGTGCTTCTTGTCTTGTTTGAAAGCAAGCTTTGATGGAAAGCAGTCTTGATAACTGTTTCCAATGTAAAAGTACAATCTTCTAATTTGATGTTGACTTGAGAATTCTTTGCTTGCAGCATAATTTTGATTTCTTTCCTGTAAATAAGCTACAGCTTTCCCCCTCCTTACCTTTTTATATTTGCTTTCATTAAAATTCTGCCATTAACTTGGACTTTTGTGCTTATTTCTTCTGCTTGTCATCTTAGATACTTTAAAAAAATCCAGTTCCCTAGATTGCACCAAATAATTGATATCTTATTTGATTGCTTTTTTTCTGGCATTTCCTTATCTTGGAATTTAAGATCTTTGTTAAAAAGCATATTTTAAAGATGGTATTTTCCTGGAACTTAAAATACAAGCGCAATATTGCTAATACCTAATTCTGTTGCCACTGAAACCTACTAAATTCTTCTGAGGAACCCACCGGCGGGGCATAAAGACATCCCTTCTTTATATCTCTCTGATATTGGGGGGAATGCATTAGTATTTGGGGCCACTTTTTCATTCCTTTTTTGTGAGCCCAGTCTGTTAATTCCTACTCTCTGCTTTCTATTCAGCTACAGGTCGTAAGAGGGTCCTTTTCTAAATTTTCTCAGGAATCTTTGATCAATGGTGTTGTCAAAAGCTTAATTTCCCCTCTTCTTTTTTCCTCATATTTCCAGATAAACTTGCAAATATAATGTTGTGCTTTGATAAACCTTTGTTATATATAGCAAGTGCTATGTTTATACTGGAATAATTATTCCTTATTCATGAAACCTATCTTTTAATAAGCAGAAGGTTTTTAACAACTTCACAGATGGCTGCTTTAGACTGACGCCAGTGTCTCTATAGGGTTTAAGAGGGGTTTTCCTAACTCAGTATGAAGATGCCAGGGTAAAACACAATAATCTTTATATATGCCAGTGAATTATAGTCATTTGCCTAAATTAAACTTCAGAGTTGAAGCTACTTTACACTAATAAATAGTCATTTAGATATTGTTCCTTGAATAAACAGTGAGAGCAGCAATTATTAGTGCTAAAGTATGTGGCTATATAAAGAAAACACTTAGCTCCATCTTCACTGCATGCTGCTGCCATTAATATGACTTTGCAAAGAGAAAGTCCTGCCAATTCTCACTAGTATTACTTGGTTGCAACTTTACTTTTCTTTGCAAATTTGCATTTTGAGAAAGTGCTTTGGTGGCTCAGAGATGTATTGAGATGGCTACATTTGCACTGGATTAAATCTATAGCTGCCTGTTACCTTGTGCCAAAGAAACATTGGTAATATGAAAGGTAGTTCAGTAGTTTGCATGCTCTGGTGCCTGTTCTGTGGGCTCTCCAAGGGAAAGAAGGAAGTTAGCAGTAAAATTAAGCTTTATTGCTACTTTAGTAGTTGGGATATATCTGTGAGATACTCCAGAGGAAGTCTCCTGGGTGCAGTTACTTTGATTGTGATTGAAGACTGTGATCGTCTCTGCTCCAGAGAAGAACAAGAACAGGGAGCTTAATACCTGCTATCTATATATGTGCATATTCTTGTGCATTCTGTGTACCTTGCTTCATCAGCATCCAAATATGATCAGTCCCATAAAGACTGATTATTTCTTAGGAGGAGAGAAAGAAAAGTGATCACAATTTGAGGTAGAGTTATCTTAATACAGAAATGTTAGGTGTGTTAGTTACTCTCCCTCATAATGGAGACATTTCTGTACATAAATAGTGTCTATTGCATTTCCAGATAGGGATTGACCTATCTGGACAGGGACATCTGTTAGCATATCCTTATGCAGTCCTTAAGTATAGGCTGACATTCATGCTTAAGTTTCTTTCAGCAGCTGCTCGGGTATTTTGTTTGTGTGGGGTTGGGGGGAAGGATGGGAAGGCTGATGTAAGTATCTTAGTTGCTAAGTTAAAGGTGGGCTTTTAAATGTTCATTCTGCCTTGTGGTCGAAATAGGTCTGAGATGGATATTTTCACAAAAAATATAATAATGGGTATCTTGGCTCCTGAATGACAAGTTATTTGTTCAGATGCTCAGAGTGTTCTTATTCCTTCCCCAACCTGGTGCTGACCTGATGTGGTGGGCTTCAGCTCTTATAACTCTCCTGTTGGCATGACCAGCGATCACATTGACATATGACTTCTAAACTGAAGCTGAAAACATAATGTTGTTTGCTCTCAAATAAGGGATCAAAAGTTCTTGATACATAAAGTGGAGCCAAAATCTGCTAAATAAAATTAAATATATTTTCCCTACCTTTATCTGCCTTCCTTTAAAAGGGCTTTAGTTCCATGGTACTGTCTCTTTAGCAAAAGTCTGGTTTTTAAACAAGAAATTTTAAAAATTCATAGATTAGAAAGTGTCCTAAATTTGAGGGGTGTGTGTGTGTGGAGAGTCTTTTAAAAGGAAATGATCTTCAGTATTGTACATTTCCACGCTGCCAGGAGGAAGAATTGACTTCAGCAGAATGAAGTATTCTTAGTTTCTTTCTTTTCATATATCCTTTGTAACTTAATTAAGAGACACAATGAAGAATCTATTAAATTTGCTTAGTCATCAATGAAAATCTCCACTAAATACCACTTTAGTTCTGATGAGTCAAAGCTTCAAGAAGAATATGACACAGAAACAGAAGGGAGCATCTGAGAGGCTTTTGCTATTGCCTGAGGTCAGCCCAGGATGCTCCCTATTCACTGAGAGCTTAATGAATTGGATTAGGTGAAGTGTCATTATACCATGTATTCCCTCATGTGTGCTACAACCAGAAGATGCTTCTGGTATTCTAGCTCAGTTAGTACAAAGAGAAGACATGATTTTAGTTGTTTTTGTTTTGCCAAAATAGATTTTTAAATGCATTACTTTTCTGTGTTACTTTCCAAAGAGCAGTTGCAAGCTTTAGAAAGAGGAGGCCCCCATACCATGTGTTCTTCCCTTGGCTTCTTAGTCTATCTCCAAAAAGCAGATCTAAGTAAGCAAGGCTGAATGGCATTTTTCTTTAAGTGTAATCTATTTAGCTGGCCTAGCAGTGGGAAATGGTCTTGGCCCACTATGTCAAGTGCTGCCTGTTATGGCATCCCTTGAACTTTTGCCACAGAAAATACATATTATTACATACAGTATTAATCCAAACCAGCTACAGGCTTCTCAATAAAGTTTATTCATGGGAAGTTGCAAAAACATCCTTTGTGATGCCAATCAGATCATTTCCTCATCAAACTGCACATCACAGACTTCTGCTTGGTGGCAGGACCCTTAGAATATTCTGCCTCAAACAGATCCAGAGGGATTTCACAAGGTGCTTGGAGGCCTTCTGCCTCAGGTCTGTTCAATTATTGGAATATGGAGAGTGCTGGATGACATTGCTCCTATAAGGTCTCTGCCCAGTCATCAATCCCAAGTAGGTCCTTGGTTTGCTGAGTTGTTGAAAAACAGAAATGATTAGAAAGATATTTGGGAAAAAGTAACGAAATCAGAAATGGATGTGAGTACTGGTAACAACTCACATTTGAGCCATCAATAGCAATAAGAATGACAAAGCATCAATTCTCTGCATTTATTGCTTCTTCCCTGTGACCCTGCTCAGAATTACCTGGCATTTTGGGGAAAAATAAGAAGGAGAAAGTCCCCATAGAGATGCCAGATGAGTTTGCAGGTTTCTTGTTAGATAATGTTGCTCATATTTGCCTTGGGTTGGACACCAGTTGACAGTCTACAGTAATGAATAGAGTGAGGTCTTGTGATATTATTTGGGATTCTTTTTCTCTTTTAGAGCCCAAGGAAGCATATAGGATTCTCTGGTGTCAGTACTGTTACCTATGGGCTAGGTAACACTTTTTGTGGTGAGGTGGGCCTAAAGTAGGGGATAGTTAATTTTTTTTGTGAGGGAGGAGGTAATGCTGCCTACATTGAATGAGGCTATAGCAAAACCTCTCCTAAAGAAATCTCCCTGGATTAGCTGTTTTTGACTGGTCTCCAACCTCCCATTCTTGGGGAAGGTTGTTGAGAAAATGGCAGTAATCCAGCCACAGAGGATCCTAAATGAAATAGATTGTCCGTATTTCTGTCGGTCAGGATTCAGACCCAGTCATGGGAGAAGACAACTAGTTATTCTGGCGGGTGAACATAATCAGAACCTAGATTAGAGGAACATACTTCTCTTGATTCTATTGGACCTCTCAGTGGCAATTGATACCAATCATGGTTTCCTGCTGGACTGTCTGCAAAGATTGAGAGTCAGGTGCACCATTTTACAATGGTTCTGCTCCTTAAATGGGCAGCTCAAATCTCTAAATATTGAGGAACTATGTTTGAGCTGGTTTTTGCAGGGAAGCTACTAGAGAAAATTTGGGGTAGGGTGTCATCAGTATGCTGATGACATTCAATTATATATCTACACCCCAAGTCAAACCAGAGATGTCATGGAAAACTTAACACTGGAGGCTGTCAGGGTCTGGATGAGGCAGAACAAGCTCAGGTTAAACCCTACAAGGATCAAGTTGCTCTTTGTCAACAAACGTTGTGATAATTCAGTAGCATGAATTTGGGTAATTTTTCTAGATGGGGATATGCCTGCACTGAAGGGTTTGGCTCTTGACATGGTGGTCCTCCTGGACTCATGGCTCCTAACTAAATAGCAGATGGTGGTCATAGGAAGGGGGCTTTGGCTGATATATTATTTACAACCCTACCTCAACTAGGACATTCTGGTAACAATAACTCACTTCTTGATCACCTCATGATTGAACTGCTGCAAAGGCCCTCTTGGGGCATCCTTTCGACACAAGCCAGAAGCTGCAATTGGTCAGGAATGCAGCAGCCAAACTGCTAGCAGGGGAACCTTGCTATTGTAGGCAAGTCACTGATCTGATTTCCAGAGGGCTTCTGAGCCCATGGCTGGCTGGGGAATTCTGGGAGTTGAAGTCCACATATCTTCAAGTTGCTAAGGTTGAAAAACACTACTGTATAGCATCAGATAACCTCCTTGCCAATATTCATTCTGCCCATTCAGTCCAAACATCTCAAGAAGGACTGCTGAGAGTTCCCCTTCATAGGAAATACATGGGACTTGGGATGGGTGGTGGACCTTTTCTGACATCACACCCATTCTCAGAAACATGTCTTCTCCAGATATATGTGGCAATCTCTGTCTTTGCATTCTTTTTTATTCTATTGTGCTTTTGATCTTAACTGACTGTGGATGTTCATCTTGGTATGTATGTATGTTTGTTTTAACTGTTTTGTCTTTTCTATCTTGTACACTGCCCAGAGTCTCATGATTGGGGCAGTCTGCAAATATTGTATATGTAATTTAGCTGACAGTACATCTCACCAAAATAGAATAAACTTTTTTGATTCTGATTTAAGAGAACTTGTATGTAGAAATGTACATTTGCATGCATACTATGTAAAAACCTAGTTTTGTATGAAATCATATTTTCTGTTTATATTATCAAGCTTCTCTGCTTCATGTTTTTGAAAAAAGGCTTAAATCCACGTTCTCAAAAACTCATAATCTTCAATATGCTGATATACTGAATTGGTGGAGGGAAATTTTGCACTCTGTAATTCCTGTGCCCTTTATGACTCAGAATAGTCTGAAGGCACATGTTTAGAGAGCTGAAGATAAGCAGGTCTAACCCTATAAGCTCTTTGAGTGGGAGCTGAAAGTTGAAAGTTAGAAGTAAACTACTCTGAACTGTGTAGAGTTACAGCAGGGTTAAGTGTGATTGAAAAATCAGTACTTTCTCTTTCGCAACCCCCTTTCTTCTCTTCTTTGACTAATGCTACTTCAGATTAAATTACTTGAAAATGGAAATATTACACTTGAAGCAAAATTAACTCATTTGCGCTATTATGGTTTTATGCTGAGTATTTGAAGAAAGGTAATCACAAATTCATGTTGATCAAGGCTGCTCAATGGACATCACAAGAGATCTCTGTGTGTATTTTAAGTTTATAGGTTAAAGAAAACAATACAACACTTTCTAAAGAAAGTTCATCAGCCTTATATGTCAAGATATGTGTGAAAGAGCATGGGAAAAGGCTTTAGAAATCAAGATAATGATCTAGAATGGCAAAACTTGAACCATATTTCCAGTGCCTGGAAGTAGAAGTTCAGTGTGCTGCATAATTCTTCAACTTACCTTACAATGAAGAATTGGCAAAACTGTTAACACTTAGGAAAAATTGTTCAAAATTTGGACTGTTCAGCATTGATCTTTCTAATTTTGCGCACAATCTGGGTTTAGCTTTTGTACATTTTGTACACAGAGTTTAACTTACAGATGTAGCTACTACGTTTATACATTTCTTAAGGATGTGTTTGGTTTCTCTCCTTCCTTTTGTCCTTTAGTCAACACTACGTGATAGAAGTCATATTTTGATAACTTTGCATCAGCCTTCTCTAACCTGAATTCTCTAGGTATGTTGAACTAATTTGCAGCTAAGAATGACTGGAATTGAAGTCCAACCAATCTGGATATCAGCTAGGGATGGTTGCTATAGCAAAAAGCCAGAGGATAGTGAGAACTCTCAGGTGGGTGAAATTGATGGCTAGATGTCTAGAAGCTCAAGTGTCCTACCTTCCCATTGTGTCCCTTGTGCAAATCATAAAATGAGCAATAATTTTTCCTGATTTTTTTTTTTAATTCTTGTATTTCCATAGGTATCTGAACCCCAACTTCCTCCCATGGTACTTCATGGCCATCTGCAAGAGGTCACTTCTGTTGCCTGGTGTCCATCTGATTTCACTAAGGTTTCTTTCTGGCATTTTGTTGTTTTGTTTTGTTTTAGTTCTGTTCCATTGTATTTCTTTTTCCAAAAGTAAACATGTGACTACTTTCTCTTGTTTTTAAAACATGGATGGCTGTTTTTTAAAGGTTCTTCATTCCAAATATTTTTTCTTCCTGATTTCCTATACCTATCTCCATACTTTCCCTAGAAGTCCTTGGTCCCCAGTTAGCTTCTCATATCCCTTCTCATTATGCAGATTAAATGTGTATATAAAAATCAGTTCTTGCAATATTGTAAAGAATAATGCAATGAAATTGATATCTGATCAGAAGTAAGGATGGTGAGTTTGATACGACTTCCTAAGTGAATGCAGCCTGGCTGATTAGCTTTTTTTAGGCTGAGGCCTGCATTTACTCTGTATATAGCATACATGGGGCACACTATAAATATGGGCAAGATTAGAAAAAAAAATCACTAGGTTTTCAGCTTCATTTAGCAATATTGATTCCATTAGTCAGTCAATAATGGGATAATTGGTGTTATTTAGGAGTGTTCCTAGAAAGGGATGTATGAAAATATCTGCTCCACCCAGTCTGGGTACTACAAATTAGATTTCAAGGGCCATAGGCAGCCATAAATTGCCTACTCCAATCTTTTATATTCCATATTTTAAACAGTGCAATATTTGTCATGCTATTTTACAGATTTCCACCTGTTCAGATGACAACACTGTCAAGATTTGGCATTTGAGGCAAAGTACCGAAGAAGAGACCTGGATAGATAAAAGCAGCTTGGTTGGTTGGACTGATCAAAAGAGAGTGGTAAAACAAAACGAGATAGGTAAGTCCTTGGAATTAATGACAGCTTTTGTCTAATGTGGATTTAGATCTTAGAAAACTGTTATTCACAAAATAAATCATAAAAACATAATTTATCCCTATTTTTTTCTAAGTTCAGTCTGTATGAATCATGCAAATAAAGAATATCAGTTTTACGTTGCAGTATACACTAGTAATGGGAAGAGCTTAAAAGGTGCATAGGCTCTATTGCAATTCTCATACAAATTTGGTCCATGAGTACATTTGCCAAATGTAAAAATTAAAAATATACAAAACTGAAAGGGTAATAGAACTCAAAAGAATATACAGAATTGGATTTTATAATAAAATATGGATATTCCAGAAAATAGAACCTATGTTTCAATCAAAATCAAGGTTTATGAAGTAGTTTTTCTAGAAATAGGCTAATTTAATAATCAATGCAATATTTCAAGTTATTTTAAATCTATCTGAAACTGAAGATGTTATAGGTTGTTTCCAATATCCTAAATATAAAGATTTTTACCATTAGTTATCAGTTGGTTCTATCTAAAGGAATTCATTAATTTCTTCCAAGAATAGAACAGTATCTTTTGAGTTCAGCTTATCATGTAACAAATGAGAGGATATTTCTCCAGTATTTTTATTTTTTAATAAATAATCATACTTAAAGCATGCTTTTAAAAAAAAAACACACACACCCAAGATTTTGGGGATATCAACTCCCCTTTCTAACATGGAGTTCATAAAACAATGTTGAAGGAAGGTACCATTTCTCCAAGAACAAAGTGGTTTCATTTTATTTTATCGAAAAGGGAGAAATACAGTGATCAATTAAAATTAGTCTTGGATAACAGTTGGAATTATTACCTATAAAGAAAAAAAGAGATCTAGGATTTTCATCATGAATAACTGAAGTTCTTGTTCTTTTCATCATAATGCAGAACTTGCAAGCTGTGGTATCCCAGCCTGTTGTTAAACTTAGTTTTATAAGAGGGCCTTCAGTTCTATTCCCTATCCATCATCTATCAACTGCAACTCACAACACAATAATACGTGATAGTTTTCTTTTAAAAAAAGTCAAAAAGTCATATGATACACTTACAAGGAAGTCCCAAATAAAAGAATTATGGTGGTATCTATGAGTGAGTTTTGCAAATGGCATATTTCTACTTGTAGGAATGGCAGTAAGATTGTTCTGTAAACATAAAATTCCTATGCAGGAAACTTGCAGAACAATAGGAGGGTATGTGCCAGTTCTCGTTCATGCTATGAGTATCTCACATGCACATATACGTCATTGTTCTCTTAGGAAACTTTAAAAGAATCACTTCCTATTCCCATAGATAAAGAAGAGGGCTATTTAATCCTTTGGTTTGAAAACTGCAAGTGATGTGCGTGCTGCATCTTTATTGGCAGTAGTGTTATATAAAATGTCTTATCTCCTTATTCATTTTCTCCTGAAACAGCTTAGAAATGGAAAAGGAAGTCCATGAACTTCACAAACATAAGCAGGCTTCCTTTTGAGACCTTGCTTCTTAAACACAAAGCACATGCTAAATGCATAGAATAGTTATTTGCACTGAGTCATTATTGCCTTAACCCAAATTCTATTTCAGGGCTGTCTGGATAAAAACATGCAAGCTGTTTGTATATCCCTCCCCCGCCCCCGTTCCCCTTCATTGGCACAGATAGTGGTGCTTGTGGCTGCCCAGGAATTACATATGCACAAGCTTTGCTAATAAGCTTGCTGAATACTTGAGATTTTAATACAGTAGTGTCTCGTTTAACCGACCTTCACTTATCCGACATTCCGTCTTATCTGACGCCCCTAAAAAAAACACAACAACAAGCATAATTCGGCGACAAGAAAAGTGTGCCGCTTGTTTGTGAGCGTGAGTGTACTCTTTCTTGTTGCTCCTGACGGTGCGGCGGCGCAACACAAAAAACGATTGCAACCAGCGCCGCGGGTCGGGTTTTTTTTTTTTTTTTACCGCACTCAATCGTTACTGTG